CTTTGCGGGCTAGCCGGGTCAACAGTGTGTGTTCCTGACCACCCGGGGCAAAAAACTAAAACCCTTTTTTTAAAAACAAAAAAAAAAAAAAAAAAAAAAAAAAAAAACAATAATAAAATTGGTGCAACAAACCCTGTTGGTTGTTTAACATTCGCAGTGTCTCTATTGTTGTCATTCTTCTGTAAGAAGGAGCAAAATGGCTGTGTTTCCCCAGCTGGAGAACTAGTACCCATTAAAGTCCATCTAACTCAAAGCATCTTCTCCAGGGAGTGAAAGGGTGTTGATTAGGGCTAGGAGCAGTCACTGGCTGGTGCTACAATCTGCTTTAAATCACATTTGTCTAGCTCTCTGTCTGATAACAGTCTGATGAGGAGTAGGCACCATAAACTTGATTCAGTATTGAGAAGAGAAAAGGAGCTGGCCATGCATCACCTGGGAAGCCTTTTCCTGACAGCAGGCACTCACACTCAGAGCTGTGAAGAAGCAAAGGCTGCCTGGGGGAGTGGGAGTGGTACAGCAAAGTAGGGAAGAGCTATGGCCAATTAGACTCCTCACCCTGGAATTCTAGCAGCAAGGGGATGCTTGGCAGTGATTAACCTAACCCCAGAGGCTCAACTTCCAGATCTGACAACCTCCTTGTCCTTCCTGTATGCAACTCAGACTTCAAGACACTCATGCCAACACAGAATGGCTTTTATCACCCACCATGTTCTTCTCAGGGCTTGGTCCTAGCTAAGACAACTTGGGCCCACAACTTTCCTTACTCAGAGTCCTCCTGAAGCCACATCCCTGACATCCCTAGCTTGGTGCTGCCCTCTATTCCCAAGTCACTGTTGCGTCACCCCGCCTTGTTTTCCTCTCCATGGATATGGAGTAGCCTCTCACTCAACCGTGGTCTATTCTTGCCCACACCAAACACTTTCTCTAACGCAGCCTGTCCAACACATCAAATCCAAAGTCTTCTTTTCTTCTTATTAAAAAAACAAAAACAAAACCAAAAAAACCAAAGAAGGTGGTGGTGTACATCTTTAATTCCAACACTCAGGAGGCAGAGGCAGGAAGAAGAGCTCTCTGAGTTTAAGGCAGCCTGGTCTACAAGAGCAAGTTCCAGGACAGCCAGTATGCTACACAGAGAAACCCTTTCTCGAAAGACAAACAACAAAAACCCTCAAACAACAACAAAAACAACCACCCCCCCACCCCCCAAAGTTTCATGCAGTCTAGGTGGGCCTCAAACTCATGCTCTTCCTAACTCCATTTCCAAACGTGCTGGCATTACAGGTATGTACGTTTTCAAGTGCACCTCTGAGAACTGCCGTGTCTATACTTTTGTCTCCATTCACTTCTCTTCCTTCAGTTTTCTGCTCCCTATATCCTAATACTCAGGAATGATTTTGGAAACATATAGTCACCTAAGATTATTTTTAGGTGATCCATCCTCCCTCCCTCCCTCCCTCCCTCCCTCCCTCCCTCCCTCCCTTCCCCATCTCTTTCTAGGCAGGGTCTTACTGTGTATCCTCGGCTGTTCTGGAACTCGCTCTGTAGAGCAGGTTAACCTTGAACTCAGTGTTTGCCTGCCTCTGCCCAGTTCTAGGACTAAAGACATGAGCCACCATGCCCAACTCTTATAAGAGTCCTTTTAGTCTCCTGACTTCATATTGCCCTCTATACTGTACTTAGAAAATTCTCACTTCAAAATGCAGCTCAAATCTCTATTCTTGTGGTAAGCCAAGTATGCAAGTACAGCCCTTTCCCTTAGTCAGTGTTTAAATAATCCTTATACCCTCTGAAATTTATTCAATATGACCTTGCATTATAGACTGTATCTGCTACTATAAAATAAGAATTGGAACTTAAACCATGTCTAAGCTAGGTGTGGTACTCAGAAGATTGAGGAAGGAGAATTCTAAGTTTGAAGTCTGCCTGGGAAATTTAGTGAGATCTTATCTCAAAATAAATGAGAAGGGGTTGGGGATGTCATCTCAATGATTGAGCACTTACATAGCACTTGTAAGACCCTGGGTTTAAATCTATGGAACTAGACATTAAGGGAGGGAAAGAAGCAGAGAAAAAGGAACGAAAAACAGATACTTTATCTATATGGCTTCTGTTCCTAGAAGGCTTGTCCCCAACACCAAACATATGTAATCCCTGCAGAGTATCTGCTTGGAAAACAGTTTATGCTTCAGGGAGCAGAACTTAGAGACTGATCATTCTTCTACTTCTTCTTCTTCTTCTACCACCACCACCACCACCACCACCACCACCACCACCACCACCACAGGTAGTCAGTCCCAGGAAGAGCTAGTAGATCCCAGGCAAACAGGGAAGCTGGACTCTCTGAGGCCAAGTCTAGAAACCAACAGTATTACAGCAAGCTTACTGCTATCCAAACAGCTGTTCAATCCAAAGTTATGAGCTAGAGCCAGAAATCTGATATAAACAATAAATTAGAGACTATAGACAAGGGGTTAGGTCATCTGTTTATAGGACAATATGTCAGGTAGGTGCACCCTAAAGACAGTAAGCACAGTAATGCTAGAAAAGCAAGGGAGAGAGCTAGTTTCTAGATTCTCACTCAGCTGTACGCAGAGCTCCTAATGGCCTTGAAGCTTTGCTCTCTCCTTAAGTGTGGGCCTTGTTTTTATGTAATATATAGGATGGTGGGAACTGATGCACCCCCCAACCTGTGAAGAGAATTATAGAAGCTAGTACCCTATCTTCTCCATATCTCATTTATCCTTGTTCTGAGTACCTTTAAATCATATAACTTCTATTATTTAAACTGTCCAAAAAAGGTGGTTTATTGAAATGTATATTTAAATGTGAATTAAGCTATATAAGATATTCCATATGAATAAATTAATATAAGCCAGAGAAATTACTGAAAGAAATACTTGTCTTAATTTGGGGATCAGAAATCAAGGGTCTCATCTGCTCTAGATCTTCAAAGAAAGTGAGTGAAGTAGAATTTGGACAGGTTATGGAAACAGCATGGAGGAAGAGAGCTGTTCTAGAGAAGGAGTGAGAGATGCTGGTCAGCTATAAGAGAACCTTAAGGCAAACAACAGCCAGGAGCCTGCTTGGTCAGTCTTATGCTCTAATATTTCACTGTGCCTCGGGTACCACAGCAGAGCCTAAGCAGTCAGGCAGGCTGTAGGGGTGGGGATGCCAAGTTGTGGGACAAGCTCAAGGCTAGGCTGTAGACTGAAATCTAAACCCCTTAAGGACTGGAGTCTATGAACTTCAACTTCCTCATCCTAAACAAGTACAATGGCACCTATGCTACCACGAGCTGTGAGAGTATCAGTAATATAAAGCTGCCTTCAACTGATACCAAGATGACTTCCAAGTCCCTTAAGGTTAGAATTTAGATTTTTTTTTTTCAGATATACCATCCTACTAATCTAGATAAACACTTAAAGCACTAGCTTAGCACTCTTCCAGTCTGACTGCATGGCACTCACTCGCCATCCTCGCTTTGTGGGAGAGGGACTTACTGTACGACCTAATCTACCCATTTAGAACCTATGTCTGGCTGACAACACAAAGCTAGTATGTGACAGGGTAAGGGTTACAATTTAGGTCTGTGGGACTTAATGCTCCTCCTTTGGAGGCTAGGCAGCCTTGCCTCACACGGAGGATGGTAGTTTGGTTATTCTGGATAGCTCCCCAGTCAGCGCTCTCACCTGTGTAGTTCTTCGTCAGAGGGTGAGTACTTGGCAGTGACATCAGCCAGCTCCCCAAAGATCTGCTTGCTGTAAACGGTGAGGGACGAGAGCAGGATTAGCTCCTGCCATGTAGAGCTCAGGAGGCACGTGTAATCCTTGATTGAGAGCTCGCAGAAGAAAGGCAGCTTCTTGATCCAGGCAATCTGCCTAAAGAGCAACTCATCGGCCAGGCGGCAAAGCAGAGCAAACAGTTCTGCCTGTGTCACAGCATACCTGGGGACAGGGACAGGACAGAGTCACTTCTACCAGCCAGAGAGTGAGGCTAGGACGCACAGGAAAGGGTATTCCTTGGTAGTAGGCCTCTTGCCCTTGACCATAGATTTCCATTTTCACTCAACTTCTTATAAAGTTGTAGGGATGAGGCCAGCAAAAAACTGAGGTGGGGAAGGGGAGAGGGCACAATGAGATGATCTGGTGAGAAGAGGCTGCTGAGGGGAAAGGGGGCTTAGAAACTTCTGGAATTATGAGGAAATATCACTCTTAATGGTGGTGTTCTCTGATGTTTCAAGTCTTAGAAGAAATTCTTACTCATTCTTGTTCTAATTTTAGCAATCTAAACTTCAATGGGGTGAGTCTAGAGCATACTCAGTATAAGGAACAACACCTACATATGCAGGAAAACAGAAACAAAACCCAAAGCCAAACATGCCCAAGGTCCAGAGGCAGAAGAGATGCTGAGGAGAACAGAGGCATTCAGAAGCCTTTCCTGTTCTCACTGTGCCCCCTGGTGGTGACGGTCCAGGAACCAGAGTTGCTCAGCCTTTCCTATAAACTACTTCTGTAGCCCAAGGTGGGTCTCTGAGTCTCATTTTCACTCTTCTCAAGGTCCATGTTCCCCTTGCCACCCTCTTCCTCATACACTATAGACAAAAGCTTTGTGAGATCCTTTCTGTAGGTATTTAACCTGTAGGTATTTCTGAAACTGGAGCCTAGTTTAAGATTTCAGGATACCCTCTGGGAGGCATTAGATTAAGATTCTAGCAACCCAGAAGAAGCAGCGAGGACGACCCCCAGACGGACCAAACCCACGCACTGCTGTATACCCGCGTTCAGCGCCGACGTCCCCTGCCGCCTCCATGCCCAAAAGAAAGGCTGAAGGGATGCTAAAGGAGACAAAGCCAAGGTGAAGGACGAGCCACAGAGAAGATGTGCAAGATTGTCTGCTAAACCTGTATTCCAAAGCCAGAGCCCAAGCCTAAAAAGGCCCCTGCAAAGAAGGGAGAGAAGGTACCCAAGGGGAAGAAGGGGAAAGCCGATGTGGGCAAGGATGTGAATAATCCTGCAGAAATGGAGATGCAAAAACAGACCAGGCACAGAAAGAGGAAGGTGCCGGAGACGCCAAGTGATGTGTGTGCATTTTTGATAACTGTGTACTTCTGGTTACTGTACAGTTTGAAATACTATTTTTTATCAAGTTTTATAAAAATGCAGAATTTTGTTTTACTTTTTTTTTTAAGCTATATTGTTAGCACACAGAACACTTCATTGTTGGGGGGGGGGGAGATCATGTGTCACTAACAAAACATCCCCCAAGCTGGATTGAGGACGAAAACTTCTTTCCTCGATCATTTTGAAAGGCTTCTGTTGGCTTCCAGGAGAGACGTCCTGGTCTTGACATAGGTGGCCACCAAGGCACAACAAATTGCCTTGTGGTCTGGGAAACTCTAAATTCATTCTTATATGCTCTTCCCCCGTACCATCAACAGACTTAATTCCCTTAAGACCAGAGACCTGTTGGAACCTGGCCCCCAAAATTGGTTTTCCAGTCTATTGGGCGATATGGACTTTACAGTGACATCACTGAGTGTTCTCGGAAGAGCACTGGTTCCTTTTATAAAAGATTGTGGATCTACAGATTGATAATTCTGCCATGTTCATTTCCTGAAAGTCAGGGTCGGCTTGTGAAAAGTTGTTAAACAACATCCTTAATGTGAACTGTCAACCCTCACTCTAAGCTACTCCCCGTTTTCAAAGCGTTGAATGAAGGTTTCATTGGGTTTTATAGTGGCTTTCTGATTTCGGTAGTCTATACAAGAAGGGAATTTGGAAGTTCTTGTATATTGTTGATTGTCTGCCCATGTCCTGCCTGAAATACCATGATTGTTTATGAAAAGTATCTTTAATAAAGCTGATTACAGTTAAAAAAAAAAAAAGGTTCTAGCAACCAATGTTTTCTACTCAAGTAGAACTAAATGCAGACTGAGATGTCTTCCACGTATTCAGGCCTACACCAGAGGCTGTCAGTCATGGTCCTATTGGCTAGGGATATAGACAGGTCAAAACCAGTTAGGGGTTGAATGATTTAAAAACCCTAGGCCTGACAGAGAGCCTGATTTTGTGCCAGAAGGCACAAGAGAGAACATTCCAGGGCTTGGTTTACTTAGACCCAATGAGAAATGAAGGCCCTGCTATCTCAATTTCACAGGGACTGAAAAGTAACCTGACTTCTCTGAGAAAATATTATTAAGGAAACATGAAGGACCGAAGCCTTCAGTGATAAAGCTGGGATACAAGTGATGCATAGTAGGGACATTTTGAGACTACAAGGGGCCAAATAGGACAGAATTCACTCACCCATCTTCGATCAACATAGGTGTGCCCAATGGCTCCAGGTCTTCAGCTGACATCAGCTGATGAATCAGACTGTAGGACTGAGGGTCCAGGCTTCGAGCTTGTGGGGGCAAAAGTGGTGAATGGCCAGAATAGCTAAAAAGTTGTGGTATGTATTGATAATGTGGAGGCACCGACATCCCCATGTACTGATCCCTAAATGCCATGAATCCATTTAGTTCCACAGACCTACTGGAGAGAAAAACTTCACATCAGGAAAAGCCATGGCAGGTTGAATACCTGCTCAGTGAAAATAAGTTGGAGATGAGTTGTTCTCTGGTCATGAAGTCTGTGAATAATCAGGGTATGGAACAGAATGAAAGGTTACATACATGTCTATGCTATTAAATTCCACCTACAAAACAAGGATTCTCTGTGGGCTCACCATGTGACCAGCAGAATAGGGAGATATAAGTAACTATGAATTGGATGAAGTCTTTGTACTGATGTCACACCTAGCACCTTGCTCATGCTAGGCAGGTGCTTTGCTACTGTGCTATATACTAGCTCTCTTTTAACATATTTTGGGACAGGGTCTCACTAAGTTGGAGGGCTAACCTTGAATTTACTTTGTAGCTCATGAGCCTCAGCCTCCTAGATAGCTGGGACAGTAGATCTTCATCACAAGGCCCAGCTTCGAAGAATTTTTAATATATACTAGTAATTTATGGTGACAAAAATGTATGCTATTACTGTTGTTTTACTGTTAGGAAAACAATGGCATAGGATAGGCTAAGTGGACTTAATTAGTCTAAAACCCTAATCTAGTGTCTAGCACGGAGTATATCCTGAGGTCCGTAAGTCCCTAACTATTAAAAAGAAAGAACAGGGATACAACTGAATGGAATAAAAAGCTCTAGTTGCCTCTGAAGAAGATTGTTCCCTGTTTCGTCTCCTTCAGAGAAACCTAACCATTTTCCCAATTAACTATAAAAAATATATCTATATGTGTGCAAGAGTGCATGAGTGAGTGAATACCCCAATGCACGTGTGGAAGGACAACTATGGGAGTTCTCGTCTTCCACCATGTGGGCTCTGGGTTGTCTCAGGTAGTCAGGGTTGGAGCAGGTGCCTTTACTTGATGAACTACCTCACCAGCCTGTTGCTAATTAACATTTTAAAAATCACTTAGCTTTCCTGGATGTATCTCCTATAACTGAGTTTGGAAAACTGCACCTATAGGCCATATCTAGCCCAGGATCTATTTTTGGTAAATTAAGTTTTACTTGAATAAAGCCATACTCACTGCTTTATATAGGGTGTATGCTATGCTGCTTCTGAGCCACTAAAGCAGAGGTGGGGAGCTGGGACCCAGGCCAGGCTTACAAAGTCTAAAATAGTAACTAAATGACCTTTAACGTTTTTATTTATTTATTTGTTTGTTTGGAGACCAGCTCTATGAAGCCCTGCTTGTCCTGAAATGACCTTTTTAAAAAAGAGAATTTCTTTCCTTTATCATTTGTGTATGTGTTTGTGCACATTGTATGTAGGCCTGAAGTTGACATCAAATGTCTTTCTCAACCTCTCTCCACCTTATGCTTTTGACACAGGGTCTAACAGGACCTGGAGCATATTCATTCAGCTAAGTTAGCTAGCCAGTGAGCCCTGGTGATCCTCCTGTTTCTCTAGTACTGAGGAGACAAAAATCCATTTGTTCCTCACACACCTAGCTTTTATGTGGGTGCTGGGGATTGAATGCAGGGGCCTCGCACTTGCAGATCAATCACTTTAACCAACTGAGCTATCTCCACAGGCTCGATCTACTCTGTGATAGTTTACTTATTTATCTATATGAGTGCTCTGTCTGCATGTTTTGTTTGCATGCTAGGAGAGGTTACTGGATCCCATTATAGATGGTTGTTAGCTACCAATGTGGTTGCTGGCAATTGAACTCAGGACCAGTGGAAGAGCAGCCAGTGCTGTTAACTTTTGATTCATTTCTCTAGTCCCCTATTGTGACAGTTCATGAAAAAAAAATCTGTTAATTTTTGTCTTATATGAAAGATTTCTGGGGTAAGGAGCCCTTCTAAGGTAGCTCAAAGCTATACTTACAACTATTAGCTAACTTAAGAAAGCATGATTCCCTCAAGAGGCTTTAATCTTGAATTCCACAATAACAACAACTCTGGCAAGTCAGAAAAACTGTAGCTTAGTTCAACAGTCTATTGAAATGTTACTGCTAAATGAAGTGGACATGCACAGAAGTGGCATTTAGCAGTCTGCAAAAGAGATGGCTGATGTTTTGTTTTGGTCTTTGTTAAAGACCTGACCTTACACCATCTTGAGCCTGAGGGCCCAAGGGCATGAAGGCTGAGACAGTTGGGCAGAGGAGTACTCTACCAGCAGTTATTTGGAGGATTACTCATTGTATGGGACCTAGATGATGATACTGGGTTTGGTTTTAGCTCACCTGGATGACAGTGTGGAGCCTGGTGAGGGCTGGTTGCTCTCTGAAGCCCTGTTCCCAGGGGAACTGTGGTCGCTGTCACCATGGTTGCTCCAGTGATTGGCTTCTTCCTCAAACTCCTGTCCAGACATGATTCTTTCAATTTCTTCTTCTGATATCTTTGACAAGAAATGGATACATGTTAGCTTTGGTGCCACAGATACCTTCTGTTCTCTCTTTAGGAATCAGGGTTTATACTCAAGGTCTCTCATAATTGTCAGACTTCGTTGGCTATGCCCAGTATATTTGGACACAATCTAGGAAGCATGGTTTATTACTACTTTCCTCTTGGCCATTTACTTTACCTTCAAGCCACTTTTGAGTCTTCACTTTCCTAACTGAAACTCCATTGCCAATGACAATCTCCTACTTGCCCAATCCAATAATAAGTATTCTCTCCTTTGTGAAATTATCTGTTATTTACCTATCCATAACTATGTAGATTCTGAGAAAGGAAGTACAGTATTGTGGTTAATGGTTTAAATTCTGGAGGCAGACCTGTGTTCAAATTCAGAATATACCACTTGTAGCACAATCTTGGGAAAGTTACTGAATTATCTGAAGCCAAGTACCTCTATCTGTTTGGTAGATAGAACAAAAGCCCTACTTCATTTGATTCTTGTGAGGATTAATCAAATAAGATACTTAGAAAAGGGCCTAACAAGAGTAACAACTCTGGAAGCACTGAGAATCAAAATATCATCATTTTGGGGTTTTTCTTTCTTTTGAAAGAAGGTCTTGTTATAGTGCCCAAGCTTCAATTCCTAGATTCCTACTTTACTCTTCAAAGTAGCTCAGACTATAGGTGTGTGCCACGATACTGGGCTGTCATTATTATAGAACACTTACAGTAACAAATTACAAAACATCCTCTGTAATACTTAAGACCACAATAGGACCTAGAAAAGAAGTACTCAATAAATGGATATTGAGTAAGTAAGTGTTTATTTGTTAAGTACTAATATGTACTTTCATATGGATTTTTTTTAAAGAAAGATATCCCCAAGTCTATTAAATAAAACTTGAGGAATCACAGCTTACATTAAAGTCATATCGTGAGCCTAGATGTGGTCAGGGGTATAAGGAAGGAATAGAAATGTTAGTAATCAATACGGTACTCCATAGAGAACAAATTATCTTTGATACAGTTTCTAACCTAGGGTTGAAGCCTATCTAGTCACAGTCAACACAGCAAAGTACTAAGGAGGAAGAGCCAGAGGAATTTTTATATGTTGTTTCTATGGAAACCTCAAAGGCCATTTTCTCCCAGGCCTGTCTGGCTCAAAGTTGCATATTTATCTGCACTAGTAGTCTCTGAGAAAACCCTTAACTGTTATGATCATAAACAGAAGCTTTTAGAAATCTAAGCTAGCAGGACCAGTGAGAGGGCTCAGCAGGTAACGGTGCGTGCTCTGCAAGCCTGAGGACTTGAGTTCCACCCCTAGAACCTATAGAAAGGTGGAAGGGGAGATCAGATTCTACAAAGCTGTCCTCTAACCTCCAACAATGAATTATGAACTATGCTTAAACACACATATCACACATGTGAGCATGCATGGGCACACAAGTGTAAAAACATACATAGAAATAATAAAAGTTAAAAAAAAAAGAACCAAATGTTAATGAGATTACAGGGTAGAAAGATTTAACTAGCAGATAAACAAAGGAGTTGGTCTGAAATCGTTTGGTGTATACATTAAAGTGGAGTAATTGTTTCTGAAAATTACGTCATAAATACATAAAAAACAAACTCCAGCTTTTCTTTTAAGGGTCCTTAGTACTCTGAAATAATTGCAGACTGACTGATGGTGGTGACAGCAAGAACAGAGCTTGAAGGGCATGAGACAGACTGGCTGGGTGCAAAGAGCTGACCCATGAAGACAGTTCACTCCAGCTGGGAGTTGGACCATTGCTCTCCTGTAACCCCATGGTGCAGGACTGTGTGCAATCACGGATACACCGACAACATGGAGGACAGAACTTGTTGGGAATGCTTAACCTGGTTCAGACTTCATTTGTTATTTCCCAGTTAGATGCTTCTGGGCAAGTCAAGTCCCACAAGCTGTCTGTGTTTCAGTTTATCTGCCTGCAAAAGAGGTAATATTATTTTTTTGTAGCTCTCATGGCTATCACACTGCAGCTAGAGCAAAGAAGTATGCAGGTCAAAGTCAGACAGACTTGGAAGTTAACCCAAGATAAAGTTATAAAATATTACACAAAATATTTTTTCAATAAAATGAAAACCCCATCTCTCCTTTATTAAGAACAGCTAAACACAAGCTGGGCATATGCACACACCTTGAACCCCAGCACTCAGAAAGCAGAGGCAGGTGGACCCAGTTGAGAACTTACAGATCACTGCTCTAATACATCATTAATAAATAGGGAGAACAAAACAAAACAATATGTCCTATATAAAAAACAAACACAGCAGCAAATGGAATGGCTTTTCTGAGCATTGGTGTCTCAGTTCTGAAAGGAACAGTTTACACTTCTATGAGCTGAGAGTGCCCTGGCAGAGCAGACTCACACAGCACTAAGAATGCATCAGGTACTACTAGAGCTGTGACCCTTTAATACAGTTCCTCATGTTGTGGTGACCCAACCATAACATTAGTTTTGCTGCTACTTTATAAGTGTAATAATTTTGCTACTATTATAAGTTATAATGTAAATATCTATGTTTTCTGATGGTCATAGGTGACCCCTGTGAAAGGGTGGTTCAACCCTCCCAAAGGGGGAGGGGGTCACAACTGTACTAGAGGATTTTTTTCTTCATTGTGAAAATATTTAAGAATTTTCCACAGTAGATGATCTATTACACCTAAATATGAAAAGAATGACTAGGGTCAGATATGAAAGATCCAAAGCTAGTGCCAGATGTTGAATATTGAAAGATTTTCCTTTAAATTCAAGAGCAGAATAAAGGTGCCTACCTCAGTACTCTTATTGAATGGAATACTGGAAATCCCAGCTCAAGTAATTAAATAAGAAAAAGAAATGCAAGGCATCTAAACAGAAAGAAGTTAATTATCTGTGTTCACAAAGGACATGAAGTAGAAATTTCTTAAGATCCTATAAAAATGTTAGACCTAACCCATAAATTCAACAAAGTTGTAAAATATACAGCCAACATAAACAAATTCCTTTGCCATATGCTATCAATAAACAATCTAAAGAATTTTAAAGAAAATTCCACATAGAATAGCATACAAATGTAACAGAGTTATAAGAGGATAAAAGACCTACACAGTGAAAAACATAAAATGCCACTGTCACAAATTACATACGAACATATCTGTGGACCAGACAACTTAAAACTAAAATTTAAAAAGCATCCTAAAATCGATATGCAAAAAGACTCCAGGCAGCCAAGATAATCTTAAAGAATGACGCAGCTGGAGGTTACATACTTCCTGATTTTAAAGCATACTTCAGAGCTACAGTAATCAAAACATGGTGTACAGATTTACACCTCAATAAACTACACTCAGAAGTATATGGTCAAATAATATTCAACAAAGGCACAGGACTACACAGTAGGGAAAGAATAATCTCCTCAACTAACAGTGCCAGGCAAACAGCAGTTATGTGTATGCAGGCTGGAGTAAAGCAGGAAAAAGAGAGCCTTCTTGTCTTACACTACACATAAAGGTCAACTCAAAGTTTATTAAATGTAAGGTCTGAAACTGTAAAATTCCTGGAGGAAAACACAAGAAAAATCTTTTAAGGAGGGCCTTGGGAACAATTTCATGGATAAGACATCAAAAGCCGGCTGGTGAGATGGCTTAGTATTTAAGAGATCCTGAGTTCAATTCCCGGCAACCACATGGTGGCTTACAACCATCTATTGGGAGATCTGATACCCTCTTCAGGCAGGCAGATGTATATGCAGCAGAGCACTCATACATTAAATTAAAAAAAAAAAAAAAAGACATCAAAAGCTCAGGGAACAAAAGCAAAACTAGAGAAGCTGGACTGTGCCCAAGCTCCTGCACAACCAACAATCAACCCTTGAAAGGCAGCCTGTGCAACCAGAAGAAAGGAGCCAGCATCTGCAAGAATGGTGAATTCAACAGATAGAGTTTTTGGTCCTGCTAGATGAAAGAACTCCAATCTGCTGGGCACAGAGTTAAAGACACTGATATTAAAAATTAAGAGAGCACAATGACTAAAGTGTTTGCTGTGCAAGTAAAAGGGTATGACTTCAGATCCCCAACAGCCACAGAGAAGCCAGGTATAGTGATGTGTCCCTGTAATCTTAGTGCAGGTGCATGCCTGGGCTCTGGTCAGGCAGTGTAGCAGCAATAGCAGGCTTGAGGTTTAGTGAAAGACCCTGTCTCAAAAATAAGGCAGTGAAGCAAATAAAGACATCTCAAACTCAACCTCTGTCCTCTACAAGTGCCTACATGGACGACAGCACCCGCTCCATGCATGGAAGAGAGAGAGAGAGAGAGAGAGAGAGAGAGAGAGAGAGAGAGAGAGAGCAAGCAATCACATGTTGTTTTTAGTATAGATTAAAATAAATTAATTTTCAAGAGATAAATGATAGGCATAAAATGCTTGATTAAACCAATCAAAACAGTAAAGTTAGAAGTTTCATACAAATATGTACACCCTGGTTTTAGTGCATTGTGTATATTCCCACAGCAGGAAATTTCCCATATGTCAGTACATATCTCTGGGTTCTTGTCTTTCATTTGCTTATACTTAACTGAAGAAATTCTATTAATTTTCTTATGAACTATCTCATGGTTCTCTTTCCCCCTTCTGATCTGTGCTCATTGTCCTACTTCAAACTATTACTTGTATCTCTTTGAATATGTGCATCTCTCTGCAAATCCATTTTAAACCATTCCCAAAGTATTTTTTTCTGAAATGCAAATCTCTATATGGCACTCTCCCTTATTTGCAAAAGTGATTGATTCTTGGCACACAGCAAAAATTCACAAAATTGAGCTCAGCTCTTCATGTGCTTGGGAATTCATTTGATGAGTGTATCATAAAATATTCCCTTAAGTCATGAGGCTCTTCTGCTAGCAAGTAGGAACAGGAAGTGCAGGCTGGTCCCACAAACGCTTTACTTAGGAGACACGGTAAAGACAACTGAGGTCATTCTTTAGAGAACTAATCAAAGTTCAAGGACTCTGCCTTATTTGCTGCCACTCTACAACACGTGTGTAATGCTCCAGTTTCATTGAATTCCTCTGTGATTCTGTAAGGATCTGTCTGTGGGTCATTTCAGTCCATTCTCTCTAGCTTTGATAAACCTTGCTTAGCTTCTTAACACACCTACTTCTTCATTCCCCTTCAAGAATCAGTTCAAAAGCACCTTCAGGAACCATTTCTTGAGTGTTTCCAGCCTCTAAAAAGAACAGAAGCTTCCCTGGGCATCTTCTTTGAGCTCTCATCGTACCTTGGTGTCTATCTACCATCTGTCTCTCTCATTAGACAGTATATAGCCCACAGTATATAGAGCAGCAGAGTAGGAACTTGGTAGATACCTATGGGACAGACTGGAATATTATTATTCCTATTTTACAACTAAGAACATAAACAACAAGGTGGTTTTTGCCAATTTCTGGCAGGCTAAGTTACCTATAACTTTAAGTGATGGCTCAAAGTGGAAGAATAACTTTTTGAATGGTTTAGAATCAGAATTGAGTTCATTGCCTATGAAATTTTAGGAAACATTGAGGGGTCATAAGAGGAGCTTGAATCCATTAACTCCAACAGTTAAAACTTTAAAAGTGGGGGATGGAGAGATGACTCTGTGGTTAAGAGAATGATCTTTCAGAGGACCCAGGTACAAGTCCCAGCACCCACATAGCAGCTCTGTCTGTAATTCCAAAATCTGGCACCCTCACCCAGACATGCTTGCAGGCAAAACACCAATGCATATTATTAAAAAAAAAAAAAGACTTTAAAAGTGTTTTCACATTCAGATTATAAAAGCAGTTTTTACCAAAGTGAAAGCAAAGATGGCAGAGGAGAAGATCAAGGTAAACAGCTACAAGAGCATTTACATTATTACCAAGCTTCTAGAACACACTAAGAGAGAGGGTATAGGACTTACCTGAACTGGTCCAATGCTCTTGTTCCGGCCTCCAGGCATGCCATCTTCCCTGATAGCTAGAAGGAAACATAAGACAGTTAGAAGCACACTCAAGGTTGTTTATGAACAAAATGAAAACTTATCTGTTCCAGCACTCTGTAAGGCAGAGACAGGCTGATCTCTGTGCCTTCTAGGCCAGCCTACATAGTGAGTTCCAGGACAGCCAGAGCCACATAGTTAGACCCTGTTTCAAAACCAACCACCAACCAACCAACCAACCAACCAACCCACCAACCACCAACCATCCACCAACCTACCACCAACCAACCAACCAACCAACCAACCAACCCACCCACCCACCAACCACACATACATACATGTGGCTAAAAGTAAAATGTAGTAAGTAGTGAAACTAAGATTTAAACACAGGCTTTTCTAGACCCATAGTGTACTTTATTACTGTAAGTTGCCTCATAAGCAGCAGATACTTTTGGATCCCCAAGGCTTAACTAGATGTATATTATACATACTGTACACATTCAAGATATTCAGCAAAAATGCTGACATTGTTAACAAGTCCCAGTTACAAATATCCCTCCAGAATATGGCACATCTTAAGACTGAGGGACATTTTACAGGGAGTTTGGTGGGAGAAGAGAACAATGCCTACATTGCAGTATAAAATATATTTCATTCTTTTCCTAAGTTTAATTTAAAGGATCAGGACAAGGTTTTGGTTTTATTTATTTATTTCATATTGTTGTGTTTCTGGGACTTGAACCAAGCAGTTCATACATGCTAAGAAGCACTCTGCTATCCAGGTAGATGCCCAACCCTGGAGAACATAGCTTTTAATTTTTAGTTTTTATTAGTTGGAACATTGGCCTCACTAATTTCTCCTTAGAAAAGTAGGAAGTTGAAGCTGAAGGAACACACACACACACACAACCTGGTGCCCATGGAGGTCAGAAGAGGCATCAGATCCTCAGGAACCAGAGTTAGAGATAGTTGTATTCATCATGTGGATACTGGGAACTATCTGGGTCCTCTGGAAGAGCATAATGTGCTCTTAACCATTGAGCTGTTTATCCAGCCCCCAAATGATACTTAGGTGGGGGTGGTGGTGTTATTATTTTATGAATATAGGGGTTTTGCCTGCACATATGTTTGTGTACTAAGTGTACCTGGTGCCTAGGGAGGCTGGCAAACGGTGCTAGATACACTGGGACCAGAGTTTCAGACAAACAAAACAATATCAACAACCATTATTACTATTATTATCATTGTTTTGGTTTTTTATTAATCAATTGATCAATCAATTAAAAATTTAAAGATAATCTTATGTAACGCAGACAGGCTGTGAACTTGCTTTGTAGACCAGGTTGGCCTCAAACTCCTAGAGTTTTTGCCTCCCAAGTGTTGGGATTAAAGGAGAACACCTTATATATAGTGAGTGTGAACTGGAACTCCTTTTTGCCATCTCTTCCTATGTGCGGCATTATAGGCAAGGCATGTATCACTATGTTTTGCATTACTATTAATGGAGGTTCTTAATACGGGGGCACAACATAGGGAAAGGCTTCAGAAAAAGACAACTTTTGAACTGAATCTTACAGGAGGACTTAGGAAGGTAGAAAAAGATTGCTTCAAGTTTAATAAAGAGTGAACTGAAGTAGTGGTGCTCTCCCTTAATCCCAGAACATAGGAGGCAGAGTCAGGCCTCTAGGAGTTTGAGCTCCAGGACAGCCAAGGGTACAAAGAGAGACATTCTGTCTTGAAAAAAATAAAAATAAATAAGTAGAAAGTGGGGGGGAAGGGAAGGAGGGAGGGAGGCAGGGAAGGAGGGAGGGAGAGAGGGAGGGAGGGAGGGAGGGAGGGAGGGAGGGAGGGAGGGAGGGAGGGAGAAGTTTACTGAAAAGTTCAAAGCCAAATGGTTAACTCAGGAGAAAGCATTCAGGGAGGATGGGTTATATGTGGGAAGAATAGTGAATAATGAGGCCAGAGAGACCAAATATGGGCAGACCCTAAGAAGCCAAGGCTGTCAGATCATGTGGATTATAGCTGATGAGCCTGGAGACAGGCAGCAATTCAGGGGAGTGATATGGTCCACTGCAGCATTTCTCAAAAACTGTGATGAGGGCTTGAAGGAAGCAGTACTAACAACAACCAAGGGTAAACTAACCCACCATGTGAAAACAAGTCTGGCTATAGTAACCTTGGGGTGGGGGTGCTACCTCAAAAGATGAGCGCTCTAAATATGACAGTTTCTGTATTAATGAAAGGTTAACAGGAGTTGCATTTTCTTTCAAGTAGACATTCTTGGTGCACCCAAAGATTACACACTTCAGAAGGAAGGCTTATCACTGGCAGATAAAACTGTGGACATACTTCAGAAGACATCTCACACTCACTGTTCTGAAGGTGAGGAAAAACTCTGCAAACCTTACTGTTGTTTAAAGGACCACTCATCTCAGAATTTAATAAGTACACATGATACTGTGTGTTAAAATACTATTATCTTGGGCAAAACCCAAGATTAGTCCACTCTCACTGAGTCTCAGAAAAATAAAGCAACAGAGATATAGAAACTCAACAGCAGAATCAGCCCTAGAATCTAGGCTTCTCCCCAGTTTTACTTCCTATACGACAAGTGTCTTATAGTAAAAATATAAGACTTTTAGATGCTATATAAATTCTTAACTATACATTTGTTCTATTGTGTATTAAAATACTTAGTTGTAGTGGTTCATGCCTTTAATCCCAGCACACAGGAAGCAGAAACAGGCAGATCTCTAAGTTCAAGGGCATACAGTGAGTTCCAAGATAGCCAGGACTACTTATAGAAATTCTGTCTTGAACACCACCCCTTCAAAAAAAAAAAAAAAAAGCTGATTTTAAAAAGAATATAAAGTTAACAATAATACTCATGAAACTGTCTTTGCCTTTGTTAAAATAAAACTTATTTCAAAGCCTATAATACACTGTCAGACAGTCTTTCATTAGATCTTACAACTCCCCATGCATTTCTCAGATGAGGCATCCAGGCAGACACCTGCTCAGAGCTGCATAGGGAAAAATGACAGCTGGAACTTCAATCTAATTCTGAAGTGCTTATTCTTATTCTTTATTCTATTATTTTTTTCTTTATAGTTTGCTGGGATGGGGTCTCATGTAGCCCAAGCTTGCCTCAAGCTAACTGTAGCTGATGCTAACCCTGAATTCCCAATTGTATCAACACACAGAGCTCAATGTTACAGGAGAGCCTCTTCTGAGGTTCTAGTCCTAGCCTATGAAAACAGAGCTGCAGCGTTTCTTTATTTGCACAGAAGCAGCATGCACACTTTTCCTATACTGGACCTCACATGTCTGTCATTCTTCAACCAGAAAATAGAGCCTACACCAAACCCCTGTTCAAAAACTGTTGGTGGCTTTTAATAGTCTAGGGGCTAAATCTGAGCTTGTCAGATTGTCAAGATCCTCTGTGATCTGTTTCCTGGGAGATTTCCAATCCTGATTTCTTACCATAAATGGGACATCTTTATCTACAGAGCCCTTTATACAAGTGACATCATTTCATTCTACTGATTCAAGTTAATATCAGCAATAGTGCAACAAATATATCAAATGCTTTTGCTATGTTTGATATACACTAAGGATGTAGCATCACTTCTATGACATTCCTGCCCAAATTATGTAACCTAAAGGAACTAACAAACTCAAATTGAAGACTAATCCATAAAATAAATCACCGACTTGATTTAAAAATCAACAATGTTATTAAAGACAAAGAAAATGAATAACCATTTGAATTAAAGGCCATAATAGAGATATTAAAAAAATTTTAAAAAAGGGTTGAAGAGCCGGGCGGTGGTGGCGCACGCCTTTAATCCCAGCACTTGGGAGGCAGAGGCAGGCGGATTTCTGAGTTCGAGAGTTCGAGGCTAGCCTGGTCTACAGAGTGAGTTCCAGGACAGCCAGGACTACACAGAGAAACCCTGTCTCGAAAAACCAAAAAAAAAAAAAAAAAAAAAAGGGTTGAAGGGCTGGAGAGATGGCTCAGCAGTTAAGAGCACTGACTGCCCTTCCAGAGGTCCTGAGTTCAATTCCCAGCAACCATATGGTGGCTCACAACCATCTGTAATGGAACCTGATGCCCTCTTCTGGTGTGTCTAAAGACAGCTACAGTGTATTCATATAAATAAAATAAATCTTTTTTTTAAAGGGCTGAAGAGATGGCTCAGCAGTTAAGAGTACTGACTGTCCTTCCAGAGGTCCTGAGTTCAATTCTCAGCAACCACACAGTAGCTCACAATCATCCGTAATGGGATTTGACTCCCTCTTCTGGTGTGTCTGAAGACAGGACACTCATATACATAAAATCCATCAATTAATCAGTCAGCCAATCTTTTTTTAAAAAATACAATGTGTGATCCTAGACTGGCTTTTAGGTCAGAAAAAAAAAATTAAAATTGGTATATACAACACACAAAAAAGTAACAAATCGAAGTTACTTTTTATATTAAAATGTTATATATAAGAGAATGTGTGTGCACATGTAGGTCTGTATGTGCCTATACATATGAAGGTCAGAGGACAACTTGTGGGAGTTGGTTCTCTCCTACATACGGTGGGATCTGGGAATTGAACATACATCATCAGGCTTGGCAGCAAGTGCTTTTACCAACTTAACCATCTTGACAGCCCTTTTTTTTTTTTTTTTTTTTACATTTTCAGGTAATGTTACAGTTATAGAATGGTATGGCTAGTTCTGAATGCTCTAGGTTTCTCCTTCTGTCAATCCCCTGTATAGCCATACACTATTCATCAGTACTAAAAAATTAATTTGGTATAATACTATTAGCAAAAGTAAAAGCTTTCTTAGCATTTCTTCAGTTTCCTACTGATATCTTCTCTGCCCAGAAGCCAAACCAGAATCCAATACAGCATTTAGAAATGTTTCTATTATTTTCTCCAATTTGTAACAAGTTTTCAGTCTTTGTCTTCATAACCTTGACACTTTCCAACAGCATTTCCTACAATGTTATTTTGAAAAAAATGCCCTCCAATATGGGCTCCTAAGTTTTCTCTTGAGTCTGATAATGAATGTCATGCTCATTCTGTGTCTCTCTCGGGATCTGTCTGTCTGTCTGTCTGTCACTACACTCTCACCTCTGTGTGTGTGCCTGAACTTTTCTCAGAATCATCTTACCAGGGTAAACAATGTCGCTATGTTTACTGGTGAGTCTAACAATGCTGGCTAGTCTTATGTCAACTTGACACAGGCTAGAGTCATCTGAAAGGACGGAATCTCAATTGAGAGAATGCCTCCATAGGATCAGGCTATAGGCAAGACTTTATAATCATGCATGTGTGGTACCCAAAAGTATTGAGCCTCCATGTGGGTGCTGGGATTTGAACCGGGTCCTTTGCAAGAATAACAATTGCTCTTAACTACTGAGCCAACTTTCTAGCCCAAAGTGGGTGCTTGTTTGTTTTATTTTCTTGTTTTTTCAAGACAGGGTTCTCTGCATAGCCTTGGCTATCCTGGAATTCTGTAGAGTAGGCAGCCTTGAACTCATATAGTTCCTCCTGCCTCTGCCTCTGCCTCCCAAGTGCTGGAATTAAAGGCATGTGCCACCACCGCCCTGTGTAGAGCATTTTCTTAATCAGTGATTGAGAGGGATAGGGCCCAGACTTCATTGTGGGTAAAGATATCCCTGGGTAGATGGTCCTGGGTTTCATAAAAAAAAGCAGCCATGAAGCAAGCCATGAAGAGTAAGCTGTGAGCAAGCCAGTAAACAGCACCACTCTATGGCCTCTGCATCAGCTCCTGCCTCCAGGCTCCTGCTCCAACTTCCTTCAATGATGAACAGTGGTTTTGAAGTCATGGTGTTTCACCACAGCAATAGTAATCATGACTAAGACACCAACCTTCATTACAACATTCTGGCTAAAGTAAATTCTCCTTGGAAACAATTTCCCATTTCTAGTTATTAATTACTTTTAGAATTCACTTTTGTTTAAACCAATGTTCATTTCTGTTGAACTCCATTCAGTGGATTTGGCTATAAGTCAGAACTGTTGTGTGTCTAGTAGTGACTTGTATCTCTATCATGGATACTGGGATTCTTTCTTAAGGAAGAAAGGTCACTTGTGTTCATTCAATTAGTTATTTCTATCAGTATGAGCATATACATACTTATTCCTGAGCCTACAGACAAATCTAGAGATATGCTATTACCAAGTTAGAACCACTGTGGTTCCTAGAAGCTCTCAAGTTGAGTTCTGTGCCCTTTCAACTGTGCCCTGTGTGCTCACTCACACAATCCCACATACTGTCTTTTTTTCTTATTTATTATGTGTATGTGGGTTCCTGTGGAGATCAGAAAAGGATCCTAAATCTCCCAGAGATTGACTTAAAGCTGATTGTGAGCTGCCTGACATGAGTGCAAAAGCAAAAGCAGCAAATGCTCTTAACCATTAAGCCATTTCTTTAGGCTCTCCACCTCACTGTCTCTCTGAGCTCCTTCTATTTTCAAGCACTCTAAAACTCTCCAGGGTTTTATTTTTCTTGTTCTAGTCCTGCATCCAACTAGTTTTCTATGGAGATTTCACTCTTTTTACTGACACTTAAAACAAGATTTGGGTTCTCGTTCTCTCTCTCTCTCTCTCTCTCTCTCTCTCTCTCTCTCTCTCTCTCTCTCTCCCCCCCCCTCCCCCGCCCCCTCCCCCCGCCCCCTCCCCCCTCCCCTCCTCCCTCCCCCTCTCCCTCTCCCTCTCCCTCTCTGTGTGTCTGTCTGTCTTGGGTGCTTTGTGTGTGTGTCTGTGCACACGCAGTGTAGCCTCATCCAGTGGTTAGAGTTTAGAAATACATGTATGTATACTCACCCATTCACTGCACCTACCTACCTACCTACCTACCTACCTACCTAATCTTCCATCTACCCAGCCATCATTCCCATACTGATACCACTGTGACCCAAATTTTCATTTTAGTTTTTCTTGATTGATGACTCTTTCTCAAATATAGGGTATTTATTTGCTTGTTCAACTACAGTATTCAATTAGAGACAGAATTCCTTACATACAACCTTGAGAGAAACAATTTTACAAAGCAGAGTGCTTTGTTTGTATACAACTGTTTTGTCCTTACCATTACAATATGCAGTTAGAACACTGTTTTCCAAGGCCAGCTCCCTTCCCCCACCACCGCAGTGTGGTTATGTGATTCAGGTTAATACCAGTTGCATCCTCACAGTGTTGACTATATCTCTCCACCACAACACATTTGGTTTGACTAACTTTTTATATCCATTAAAATTCACTTTTTTGTAATATGCAGTCTATGACTTTTGAAAAATAAATAAAATTATGCATCACCAGCCATGAAAGTTTCAGAGTTTTTTTTTTACTTACAAAATATTCCCTCTGTAAGTGAAACTTAGAATCGCTTTCTCAAGACCAACCAGAAGGTGGCAGTTTCCCTCAGCAACCTTCTTAAAGGCTACTAAACCAGCTTCTGGGAAGACAAATAGGCAACTGTTTGTGTCCCTGTGTCACAGTCTCTGGGCTGTAGCTTAGGGTTTTCAGAGATGTTATGTTAATAAGAAGGTATCCTATAATTGTGAGGCTTGAGGTACTTAGCATTCACAGGCCCTGGGCAATGAAGGAAGGTGAGAAAAGTGGAGTATAAAGCCAAATTATGGTGAGGTTAGAAAGGGCCAAATTATGGTGAGGTTAGAAAGACACACCGGTCTGAAATTGGTGATTGACCAGGATTTCTGATGGAGACAAGTAATAGTAGGGAAGATAATGGACTTCCAAGTAGAGGAAACATTGTGAGCACATGTGGAATGGCATAGCATTTGGCCCTGAGACCTTCCTCCAGCCAGAGAAGTCACAAAGATAGGCAGGAAACAATCTTGGCAACACTTCAAATGCCCTACTATGGTATTTGCTTAACATACAGCCAACACACAGATTCTAACCTGCAAATAGCTATGCCACACGGGAGATACGTGGAACAGTATATTGCCTCTGTGATTAGGCACAGCTCTGCTTAATAACACATTATAACTTCAAAAATCACTAAAAATCATCATAATTATAATTAAGCTAAGTATTACAAAGTGAGTTTCTGCCCCTTAAGCTTCATGTGTAAACTGGGAGTAAGAATCAATAGGATTAGTGTATGCATCCAACAGATGATGAAGGCAAAGTACAGAACATGTAAGTGCTAAATAAATATTAGTTCTTGAATAAACTGTAAGACACTACATTATCTAAACATTCTTCAATAAGTCTTACCTTTCTTTTTTTCTCTTTTTTTTGGGGGGAGGGGGTGTCTATTTATTTTGTGTGTCTGTGTGTTGTACATGCCACAGCACACCTGTGAAGGTCAGGAGACAACTGTCAGGAGTTGATTTGCTCCTTCTAGCATATGGTTTGCAGTGACTGAACTCAGGTCATCAGGCTTCGTGCCAGGACTCTCTCATCTTTCTTTACAATTATAAAGCTCTCAAAATACCATTTTTCTTACCTATTATTTTTCTCACTTCCAATTTGGCTTTTCATCATTTCTATCCTTCTTTTTCTCTTTTCTTTTCTTTCTTTCTTTCTCTCTTTCTTTCTCTCTTTCTTTCTTTCTTTCTTTCTTTCTTTCTTTCTTTCTTTCTTTCTTTCTTTCTTTCTTTCTTTTTTTTTTTTTTTGACAGGGTTTCTCTGTGAAGAAACCCTGACTGTCATAGAACTTACTTTATAGACTGGCTGGCCTTGAACTCAGAGATAGAACCACCTGCCTCTGCCTCCTGAGTGCTGGAATTAAAGGTGTGCACCACCACTCCCCAGGTTTTCCTCATTTTTGACTCCTTGGTGGCTCACTGGTTATAAGCAGTGGCTGATTTTGCAGAGGATCTGGGTTCAGTTCCCAACACCCACATTTGTCTGTAACTCCAGTTCCACAGGATCTGATTCCTTTTCTGATCTCACAGTTTCCTTCCTATGTGCACATGAAGCACACATATACACTCAGGTACACATATACCATGAAATTGAATAAATAAACTTAAAAATTTATTTATTTGTCTGGGGTATATATATATGTCACTGTGCTCCTGTGGAGGCCAGAGAACAACCATATAGGTCCTACAGATAAGACTCAGGTGAAGGGGTCTGGTGGCAAACACCTTTACGGACTGAGCCATCTTGCCATCCCAGTATATATTTTTTTAATATTTATTTTAAAATAATTTAAGTTATGTGTCTGTGCAGGAGATAAGTGCACATGAGAGCAATTGCCCAGGGAGAGCAGAAGAAGGCATCAGATCCGCAGGAGCTGGAGTCATAGTCAGTTCTGAGCTGACACATGGGTGCTGGAAACTGAACCAGAGTCCTTTACAAGAGCAGTTATGTGCTCTCTCCAGGCCCCTCCTAGGCATTTCTAAAACTTTCTAATTGGCTACTTTGCTTTCTCTACTCAATCCTTCAAAGCTTATTAGATTTAGCTTAGTCATGGCATCTCAGGCTAATAACTCCCAGAAAACTTCTCAATAATAGATCCAATATCTGAGTATGCTATGGTTTTGTTGCTGTTATTTGTTGTTTTGTGACCGGGTTTCTCTGTGTAGCTCTGACTGAACTGGAACTTACTCTGTAGACCAGGTTGGTCTCGAACTCAGAGATCCACCTGTGTCTGCCTTCCGAGTGCTGGGACTAAAGGCTTGCACTGTCACTACCGCCTGGCTGAGTATGCTGCTTTTAGTACATAAAATGACATCAAGTCCTACTTCATGCCTTTCCAATGAAACTCCTGTCATTATTTCTTAAAAGTTTGTAGAGTATATAGTGCATGGTGAAAAACTAAGTACAAAGTACAGCAGTTGCAGATGAAAGAATGGATGAGGGGTAGGCAGAGTGCCCTGAGCACCAACTCACCCTTTCTGTTCATGCCCATCTGGAGACACTTGAGCAGGCGGCAGTACTGGCATCTGTTCCTCTGCTTCCGGGACATGACACAGTTCTTGTCACGACTGCACCGATACACCCGTTTGTTGCAAATGCTCCTCTTGAAAAAACCCTTGCAGCCCTCGCAGGAGATGATCCCATAGTGCAAGCCTGTAGCACGGTCCCCACAGATGAGACATGTTCGTTGTTCAGCTCGATCATCTGGAACAGAAACTGAATATGTACAAGTCAGCACTGTGAAAACAAAGGGGTTAAATTCACAGTTCCTAACACCTGCAGCCCTGCTCTGGGTAAATCACAAACACCACAACTTAGGCTACCTGAAGTACCTTCTCCAAATCGTCTACCCATTAGCCTTTGGGAAAGAGTTGCTTTTGTAACTCTGTGCTTTTAATCTGGTAATGTATTGTTCTTCTTCTGTATCATTCCTAAATTAGTGTAAGAAAAATGGATAAATAAGCACTTTATAGTCAAGACCAAAGCTCATAGTAAACATGGCCGAGAAAGAGTTAAGTTCACAACAAAACATGCACCTGAAACCCTGAATGAGCAAATTTATAAAAAAAAAAAAATCAATGAATAAAAAAATAGTCTGGGCAAAGGAATGTATCAGAGAAATGGCACGTTTGCAGTAGAAGGACTCAGACTTTAAATAGTCTCTCTAGAAGCAGGATCTGTGACACTTTGAGAGAATTTGCTGATCACAGTACAGGTTAGAAAACATACAAGATGAGCTTTGTATTCAAAGTAATCATGATGTCATGTCAAAAGGGAAAATGATACAGTATAAAAATCTTTCACTAGTCTAAGATAAGGCAAGCTATGCATCAAAAAGAATAATGAGGGAATGGATAAAGCACTTCAGTAAGGCCAGTGAGGTGGCTCCAGAGGTAAAAGCACAAGTGTCTACCTGAGTTCAATCTCCAGAACCCTGGTGGATGGACCAAACCAACTACCAAAAGCTGACCCTGTCCTACACCTCACACAATAAACTTTAAAAATTTCAAATTCAAAAATCAATAGACTCGTTAAGAACATTAAAAATGAAAAGCCTCATGAGTTATTACTGAAGGTTGCCAGGACCTGAATTTGATATTTTAAAAATACGTTGAATAAAGGAAAGGGAAGTGGGATCAAGCATTTAAGTCATGTCTTCTTGTTTCATGTCCCAAGGGTAAGAAAAGGGAGCAAGATGGAAAGGCAGTTTAGAAATCCTAAACTACTGCACTTCATGCTTAGTAGAGAATCATTAGGATTTGATGAAGAGCTAGATAGATACCACATGGTGGGAAAACAGCTCACCTGGAGGCCCACAGCAGAGAAAGCCTTGAGGTACAGACAGAAAGGAAGGGAACATTTGCATACAAAGCTCTAGAACAGGGGAAGATAATGAAATCAAGTCTTTAGGTCTCTGGGCTCAAATCTAGGCTCTGCCACTTGTTAGCTTTGTCTCTGTAAAGGAACTAGCAATTACTGAAGTGTAGCTACCTACCAGCAAGACAAGCGAAGGTGGACAAGAGGGTGTAACTGGAAGTAACCTTTGCCATGATGAGTTATGCTTTAAATGTGGTGCTAGACAGCATTCTTCAATGTGGGTTTACTGAGAAAGAGCCATACTTCTTTCTAAAATATGCAAATAATTCACTAAGCTTCACCAAGAAGAGCTCCAGGGAATCATCTAGTGACACGCTAAGGTTATCTTACCCTAATATGGAAAAGTCATGATCTGACCTTATTCTAAAAATTGTTGTTTTGTTTTTTTGACTCAGGATGTCATGTAGCTGAGACTGTCTTTGAACTCCTGATCTATTTGTCTATATACATACACACATACATACATGTCTTCATACATGTGCTGGGATTATAAGCATGTGCCACCATGTCTAGCTGTTTATGAAAATGTTTCTGGCCATTTATGGTAGCCAACAGTCAGTAAGGTAAACCATTAGCCCCAGCTACACACAGCACGCAAGAGCTGGGACAAGACCGCTCATGGCATAGGCAGTAGCCATGTCAAAGAATGGCTGGGAAGCGGTAAAAAGAAAGCTTAGGAATTAAGGTAAATGAAGCAAAACCACAATTTCTGGGGAAAAAAAATCCTACATGTGGCCTTTATACATGTAGTCTTTCATATAGTCTTGTAAACCTTGAGAGCAATCTTAGGAACTTTTCTGTAGTTAGAAATTACTGTGAAGAACAAATACTGTTATGTAGAATGTTGCTTTTTCAAACTCCTACTAAGAAGATAGTTAAGAAAAGATCCAGACCTCAAAGTCTCCATGGCCACATATTAATACTCAAATGTAGAAATGTCAAAGTGAATAAACAAAAACAAAATCAAAAAACCCCAACAACACTGAAAATGCTAAGGCAGCTGATGAAGTCGGCTAGGAGACTGTACCTGGCCATTGTTTAGAGCACCACTGTGCTGCATTTGCTTGAATGCATGTACATATTCATCTTTACATCACTTAACAGCAACAAAAAAAGCAAGTGTAGTCATTAATCTGACTAGAAGGTTACACATTTTGGCTCTTGTTTTATAAAAGTGACAGGTCCTTTTAGTTACATCACCTCTAACCAAAGTTACTTTGCAGGCACATTTTAATCAGAGAATTAACAGTAACATCTAGTGCCAAGTCCACTCTAGAAAAAGTATATTTTTGTTTTTAGTTCTGGAATTTGAACCTAGGATCCTCTTTCCTTGTTTGTTTATTATAAATAGTCTTGTTAAGTTAAACAGGCAAGTCTCAGATATGTCTGTAACTTTCTGCATCAGCCTCCCAAGAAGTTGAGATCCTAGACCAGATCTAGCTTGTATACTTTTGAATAAATGTGTAAGTAGCTAAAAAGTATGACTTAGTGAAGTGTTTCAAAATTACAAGTTATAACACATAGTATTGTGATTTTTTTTTGGGGGGGGGGGGTTCGAGACAGGGTTTCTCTGTGTAGTCCTGGCTGTCCTGGAACTCACTCTGTAGACCAGGCTGGCCTTGAACTCAGAAGTCCGCCTGCCTCTGCCTCCCAAGTGCTGGGATTAAAGGCGTGCACCACTACCGCCCGGCGTATTGTGATTTTTTAAAAAAATAATTAAATAGAAAATATTGGGTGGAAAACGATGAAAAAGACACCCAGTATTGACTTCTGGCCTTTACACATACATGTATATACACATACATATGTACACACTACAAAGCATACACACACACATACACACACACAAATGTGTCAAGGATAGTAAAGATAAAATATTGTCAAATGTATTTCAGTTAAAGCACGCACATTTGTTTGTATGCATACTATTTCTATACATATAAGTAGGAGGCTACTAGATCTCAATGAGCAAAGTATCAAGCACTGAACAGTTCAAAATATACTGACCAAATGTTTAAGACTGAAGCTGAAGCTACACAAATGGTGGCACATGCCTTTAATCCCAACATTTGGCAAGAGAAGACAGGTGGATTTTTGAGATTTCCAAGACCTGCCTGTTCTATGAAGAGAGTCCCAGGACATCCAGGATTATGTAGAGAGACTCTTCTCAAAAACAAACAAAAATACTGGGCCTGGGAATAGTGGTATATATCTATAACCCTAGGACTTGGGGAGTAACAGAAGTGTCTTGAGTATAACATCAGCCTAGATTACCTAGAGAATGCTTGCCTCAAAAACAAGCTTGTCTCAAAAAAATGCACGCATACAAACATAGCCAGCATGCCTCTTCCTAGCTTTGGAACCATGAACAAATAACTCACTTCTCTGAGTCTCAATCACTATAAATCACTTATATAACAACCTAGGTGTCTTTTATAAAAATTTTTGGCCAAGAGGTTGGAGAGATGATTCAGTGGTTAAGAGCACTGTCTGCTCTTCCAGAGAACCCAGGTTCAATCGCTAGCATGCGCATAGCGGCTCAAAAATGCCTGTGTCTCTAGTTCTAGGGATCCAAAGCCCCTTTCTGACCTCCCTGGGCACCAAGCATAGACATGGTTCACAGACATACATACCTAGAGGCTAAATACTCCCTTACACACAAACACACAAACGATGATGATGATTTTGATAATGATGATGTTTGGCCAAGAAAGTCATTAACAAATACATACTGTAGGTTTTCATTTTATTAAGTTAAAAAAGAAAACTGGTAAAGAAAAAAGAGTAATATAGTATGAAGAGTAGGGGCTGCTGGAATACGTTTAGATTCTTGAAATGTTCTATTTCTTGACATGGGTGGTGCTTGTTTTATAAATTGTACAACTACACTGCATTTCATACACTTTTCTCTGAGTGTTCATATTTTACAACAAAGGCTAAAGCAAAAAATGATATACTCCAGGAATGGAAATAAAATCAACAATGGCAAAAGGTGTGCATATTTGATGAAACTGCATCAGATATTAATGCTAAGCATAGAGATCTTCAGGTGATGAGGCTGGAAAACTAGTTTAGAATGAACTGCAGTGTACAGTTTTTGCTGAGAGAGAACTACAGGTCAAAGCAGTGTCCTGTGCGTTACTAACCACACAGCAATGTATAAGATACAAAAGAGTCAGGGGGGGGGGGGAGCAGGTGTCACAGACACTCAGATAACAGGATGTTAAAAGAATGGCTAAGTGGCAAAGAAAAGGAAGGTAAGAAAGCCAGAAAAGGTTGTCAACTGACTAGACAACAAGAATAACTAAGGGGAAAAGAAAGCAAGAAAATGTCTACTGTGAACTCTACTCTAGCAGCAAAGTAAAACAAAAACTGAGGAAGGGGCACAAGCAAAATGTTTGATTTTTAAAAAGGGTGGCACTTAGGAGACAAAGGCTAGGCCCGAATAATTGATATGGGAGTCACCAACATTTAAAGAGCTAAGGCTAGGGTCACAGATCAGAACCACCACTGGGGCAGAAGGCCTGAGGAGACACAGCAACAGGATACCCAGAGAAAGGTACAGAGTGAGGAAGTCAAATGAGATGGCAGTTTCCAGAGAAGGAAAGAGAAAGGCTATACATCTATGATTATTACAAAAATAGATAAAAGAGCTTTACAAGGGGCTGGAGAGATGGCTCAGTGCTCTTCCAGAGGACCTGAGTTCAATTCCCAGCAACCACATGGTGGCTCATAACCATTTATACTGGGATCTGATGCCTTCTTCTGGGATGTAGGTAGAATATTGTATATATAATAAATAAATCTTAAAAAAAACCTCAACTACTTATAGATTATAA